CTGGTTGCCAAACACCCACATTTTGATGATTTGACGGTAGGATATGGCAACCATCTTACGGGTAAGGACCAATTATTCGTCACTTTTTTGGTGACATTGTCATTTCAAGCAGTCATTAAACGAACGGTTGTAAATCAAGGACCATCTGTAGTTGGAGGCCTCTAAATGCTGCCTGGTATCCAGCAGTCTCATAAGAATGGGAGTTGTAGTCTCACAGGAACATTTCCTTTTTGCTCTTCTTGGGTGGCCGTGCTTTCTATTCCCTGGTCAGATTATGTGGCTTTGTGACAAAGAAGAAAGAAATATTCGGCTGTTGACTGAATTAACTCATCCATCGGTTCAGTCTTATTCCTCCTCTTTGTGGTGACTTTCTTTCAGAAGACCAGGCTGCTTTATCATCAGTTTTTCTGACTCTGGTGAACCCCTGCATAAACTCTGCAGGTATAAAAAGAATTCAATAAAAGGATGTAATGTCCAGGGAAAGAAAAAAAAAGAGAGAGAGGGAGAGAGATGATATTAACCATGCACATCGGAGAGTGTGTTGCCTGGTTCTGCATTTGTCTGGCTCCTTGTTAAGAGTTTTAATCAGAAAGTCAGCTCCTTTGAGGATTAAAAATAGAAAATCCAGAGATAAATATACATTCTGAGGGTGTGAATACAGATTCTGCTCGGGCATATGGCTATTAATCATGAGCTCTTTTTCCTTTTCATCACTTAAAGCTGTATCAGTTTTCTAAAGAAAGGTGAGGACTTAAATGTGTTCTACTTTCATAATACACTCCAGTTAATAATAAGAGCCATCCAAACAGAGTTTTTTGGTAAGTCAAAGCTTCATTGAATGATTGCATTTGATCGTGGTTGCACACTTCTTATTTTCAAGTCCTATTTTGTGTTTCCCATCGGCTGACATCAGCCAGAACATTTATGCAATTTTAAAGGAAATTTACTGAAATTAAGGAGACCAAACATTACAGGAGAAAGAAACGCGACTGCAAAAGTGTTATAATTTCCCAACGACTGGGAGCTCAAAAACTAGTCACCTCCTGTCAAAGGAGATGGATTTTTTTCTTCCTTTGGGAGAATCCCCACGATTCACCTTTTGGGACAGGAGCACTTCACACCCTCTCCTGGTCTCTCTGACTCTCAGCGATGCTGCCATGAACGTATGCAAGTTTCATTCGTGTGTCCCCCCCCCCTTTTTTTTCTGAGCTGTGAAAATAAGAGAAAATGGAAGCCAGGAAGGTGTGATAATACCCATCCCCTTCAATGATAGGTGTACAATATAAAATAAGCTTAGTTTTGTGGTGTACCGTGTTACCATTGTGATATGTATAGTCCCGTGTTTATGAGAGTCAACAGCTATGTCGGGATTATGCAATTTTCTTATGCCAGCTTCCAGGGAAAGCCAAATTATTGAAGGAAGGTGTGCTTGTGTACAAATCTCTAATAACAAATAGTTACGGGTGGATCCCTAGCCAGACACGTAGCTGTGTAGGGAGTTTCCCCTCTTCTCAAGTCAGATGCTTTGTGGGCTAAACCTTCTGAAGCTGTCTGGGCAAAGTCCTCCAAAATGGGTGTTTCCCACTGTGATTTCTGGAGCAGAGCTTGCCAGGACTTTTTCAAGTTAACTCCCAGAAAAATGCACGTAGAACACTCTTGCACACCTTACGGTCAAGACCAAGCAAGGCTAAGTTGGAGAAATTCACAGCTTCTCCTCCGGGTTGTGTTCTCATGCTGGTAAGATTGTGTGTATATTAGCGTGGAGCTAGACTGAAACTTAAGTCCCAGAAGTGATGTGGAATTACTCTTCCATTGAAGCAAGCAGAAGCTAAGTTCGTCAGATTTTCGTGGCCAAACTTTGAATATGAAGCAATTGTCTGCTAGGAGAATTGTCTATGAGCTTCAGAAATCACCCAAATGGTAACTGAGGGATGACCTATTGTTATATATGCAACCTGCCAAAGAAAGGAAATATTTATTATTAAGATATTTAAATTAATAGCTGGGACAGTGAAGTGTGTAATGAGTCAGAACACACAGTTATAGCTGATTGAGAGCGGGCTCCTGCATGAGGCAATCTAAGCTGTGATTGGTTGCTGTAGGTATAAAGGGGGAGTTTCCTTGTTTCCCGCCTTTTACCTCGGTTTGCTCTGTGATTTACCTCATGGTGTTACCTGACGATGCTCCTGTTTGCCTATCTTATTTACTGTAAATACATTTATTTACATAAAACAATAAGTTCGTGCCAGGGTTTCTGACTTTATTTGGTCACCGGCTGCACAATTCCCTGACATTTATCCTGTGTTGCTTGGCCACGACAAGGGCTTGAATAAATTCTTTGTAGTTTCTTAAAACTCCTCACGTCAAGTCAGGAAATACCATTATTTTCCCCCTGGGTGTTTGCTTTCCTGTATAGCTGCACAATGTGATTACGGCTGGATCTCCAAAACAACAACAACAATAACAACAACAACCCACCCTACCACATGACAAGGTGTTTAAGCTTTATGTAAACTCCAACAGTTGTGTCATAAAATCACCATACTCCCATTAAATGTCTCTTGAAAATATTTCTCCTCGCCAGTGGGTCTGTAGGCATTCTCAAGGTAAAAGTTCAACACACTGATCTTTTTCTGACATGCCTGACCTTGGATCTTATCCAGGCTTTCTTGGCAGACGGTCAACTAGTCAACAGCTGTTCTCAGCTCCTCCTAGGCTGAATTATCTTGCATTTGGTGTGGTTGAATCACTACTCCCAGCTGGTTCTCTTTGTTCTCCGATTGTGAATTGGCTTTGCAACTGTCTTGCTCAAACTCATTCTTCTTCCTGATAACAACATTGGCACATGAAGAGTCACAAGCCACCCTTTCACATGCCTTAATTATTTTTCAAGTGTGGTGCAGTGTTCGGCCGACAACTCTGTCTGCGGACTCAAATGGCATGTCCTAAATATAAGCTTACTAGATAACATTAGTCCCAGTCTATCCATGTGACTTTTAGGATTATTTTCGAGTGTACTTTGGCTCTTAAACATTCCCTGAACACCTATTTGTGTGTGTTCTGTAATAAATTAGCCTTCCATGACTTGATGTTCCCCAAATGTCTGGGATACTACTTTAGGAAGTAAGAATTTTAGACCTATAGTCTAGCACCCCCATCAGATTGGAGAACATTGTGGAAGGTTAAGTCTTCCACAGAAGACTCACTGGAAATCGTATTCAGCTGCGTTTCCAGATCAGCTTTTCTGTGGGGTCAAGCTAAGGCAAAGATATTGCTCCAACAAAGACTAAAATTAATTATAGATCAAACCCCTTAATTTCACTTCATTCTTCTTGACCAGTTTATGTTTAACAGTTCAGTATCTCAAAATAAAGGCAAATAAATGGCAAATAAAGGTAAGATGCGATTAAAATTACAGTCCATCCATTATTAGAACATTCATATGGACCTTAGAAAATATATTTGATGGGACACAGTAAATACTAAGAGCAAAATAGGGTTTAAAGCTACTTGAGGAATGCTTTTTCCATATCCCTGATAAGTAAAAAAATGTCACCAATAAAACAGAAATTTCTCAACTCTGCAATTATACATGTTTCTTCATTTTGAAATCGATTGTCTGTGCAGGAAAATAAATTGTAACAGTAACAAGTTTGGACACCCATCAACTATTTCCAAAAGTAGGCTAGGCTGCATTAACAGAGAGATAGAATCAAGATCACGTGAAGTATTAATACCACTCTACAAGGCCTTGGTAAGGCCACACTTGGAATACTGCATCCAGTTTTGGTCACCACGATGTAAAAAAGATGTTGAGACTCTAGAAAGAGTACAGAGAAGAGCAACAAAGATGATTAGGGGACTGGAGACTAAAAAATATAAGGAACGGTTGCTAGAATTGGGTATGTCTAGTTTAACGAAGAGAAGGACAAGGGGGGACATGATAGCAGTATTCCAATATCTCAGGGGCTGCCATAAAGAAGAGGGAATCAAGCTATTTTCCAAAGCACCTGAAGGCAGGACAAGAAGCAACGGGTGGAAACTAATCAAGGAGAGAAGCAACCTAGAACTAAGGAGAAACTTCCTGACAGTGAGAACAATTAATCAGTGGAACAGCCTGCCTCCAGAAGCAGTAAATGCTCCAACACTGGAAGTTTTTAAGAAGAGACTGGACAGCCATTTGTCCGAAATGGTGTAGGGTTTCCTGCCTGAGCAGGGGGTTGGACTAGATGACCTCCAAGGTCCCTTCCAACTTTACTACTATTACTATTACTGTTTAACTACTATTAGTATTTCTGTTTAAGACAATTTTAACATTAGTGTATTGTACAATGCAGTAAATTGGATTTTCCCCTGATTTTAAAATAGAGGCAAATTTCGTTTCTTTCTTTCTGCTCTTTCAAAAGGCTAGAGGTGAATCCTCCCAAGTTTATATTTGCGTATTAATTTTCATTGACCCAAGTTCAGAGCATTGCAGCCTTGTAGCTAAAGCGCATGACTTGGGCCAGGAAAAGCTCTTGGGGGGGGCTCAAGGGGGGAGGGGGTTCTATATCACCCAGAGGTATGTTGGGTTATTTTTTGAATCACTAGTTTGGGGCTTGCTCGGAATCTTGTGCTAATGAAGAGTCTTGATTTGTTTTCTCTGGTAATATGCAGCTGTTTTGTTTTGTAACTTCCTAACTTTTGATTTTGCCTTGGAGGCATATTCCTGAGGACTGGTATAAACATGATTGAAACTTCAAGCGTAGAGCAGCAGCCTGAGACTTCTGCTGTCCCAGCCAGCAACCTGTACTCGATCCTGTTTTCTCTTCTCTAAGCAAGACTGTGTTTATAGGAAACGGAATGAAGGCCAGGGATGGGACCTGCCTGGTTTATGAGCTGGGTGAGGTTTATAAGTCAGCCTTGACAAGAGGCAGCTCCCATTTTGGCCTTCATAAAAGTCAAAAAGCCAAGTAAGAAGCTTCTCAGAGGTGGTAACCAGTGTTCTGGTCTTCTTGTAGCCCCTGGTAGATGGATATTGACATGGACTACGAAAGACCAAATGTTGAAACCATCAAATGCGTGGTTGTCGGGGATAATGCGGTGGGCAAAACTCGTCTGATCTGTGCAAGAGCCTGCAACACGACCCTGAACCAGTACCAACTGTTGGCGACCCACGTCCCAACGGTCTGGGCAATTGACCAGTATCGGGTCTGTCAAGAGGTAGGTATGGCTTTTATTTTGAGGCCCCGTCTAGAAAGGATATGGATGGAAAGAGTGGGCTGGATGGAAGGAACTCCAGAGAGAGGAGTACATTAGATTAGAGCAGGCTAGAGTACTTAGTACTTACTTCTACTGTACTTAGAAAATATATGTGGAAATACTTCAAGTACTTACCTGCTGCCTTTGCGTGCTTGTATCATTGCTACCTAGTGGAAGGTGCATCGTATTCTTGCAAACCTGCCGCTATTGAAGATTCAGATCTTCTGGCCAACATATTCTCCCTTTTCCATCTTTTTAGCTGCAGTCCAAAGAAATTCCTCCCAAACTGTTGTCTGTAAAAATAGTTGGTAAAGAAGGCATTCCAGTCTGTGTGATCTAAAAATTTATAGGGTTGCATTTTCTGTGCAACTGTTACAGTCCAGCAGTTCTACCCCAGCTGATTTTTTTAACTATTAGTCTTCTTCATAAGACTTTAATGATGTATTTTTCTTTGTGTATTCCCCACGGACATATTAAAATGTGGCGTAATTATTGCTCATTTCACTAATCATTTGTTGCACTGATTTCATTGGAGGTTTGTGTTAGACTGTCTAGGCTTAAATCTTTTGTTAAGAAATTGTTTTATGTATAAACACATGAAATCTGTCAGCTTAGCCCCAGATTAAACCATGACTGCTGCTGACCACAGTTTAGGTTGTATCTGAAAGTCAACATTTTATTCTGCATGTCTGCTTCATCTAAGCTTTATAAATTCTTCTGCATAGCACAGTAAGACTAGGAAGACTGATGGCCAAATGTTATACCAGACTATAATTAGCACAATATTTATTTCAAATCATATTTGCTGGGTTTTGGTAGCTGATCACAAATGATTTCTTTTTTTTGTAATATATTTTATTGATTTTTTTAAAAAACATAAATCACTTAATAATTGGTGAACAGTGTGTTCTCTGGGTTATATTTGTAAAACAATCATTAACAACTGATTTCTATAATCCATAATCCACATAATGATTTTACTTGATTTCCTCTTTTCCCTAAAATATCCTCTTTTGCAAACATTGAGTTAATACAATTCTCATTGTTTTGATAGATAACAATTAAATATATTTTTTTCCCAATATTCCTAAAAATAATAATCACATCAATATAGTATTTCTTTTCTATCCAATCATTCTGGTTGCCTTATCATAGATCCTGTTACAGTCCTTATTTGAATTTGTTTCTCCCACCAAATTCTAGGTATTCTTATTGGTTAAGATTTTCTCAAAAATTAATTACATTTAAAATTTTAACTCTATTTTTCCATATGAACCATTTCACACTTCCACATTTCTTAAGGAATAGATAAAATAATGAAAAAAAAAGGAGAGCAAGAGTAAAGAAACATAAAAAATAACATACCGTAATTTCCGGCCTATTAGACGACTCAGCGTATAAGACGACCCCCGACTTCGGAGAAGATTTGCATGGTTAGAAAGTCATCTTATATGCCAGAAAATACGGTATTTTCCAGTGTATTAGACTCAGTGTATAAGATAAACCTCGACTTCAGAGCTGATTTGCATGCTTAGAAAGTCGTCTTATACATCGGAAACTACCGTAATTTCCGGCGTATAAGACGACTCGGCATACAAGATGATCCCTGACTTTGGAGCCAATTTGTATGCTTTATAAAGTCGTTTTATATGCCAGAAAATACGGTACTACTTACAATATATATCCCTCCTAAGCTAATATATATTTATTTCCTAAATTTCTTATTCTTTTTAACCACAATGAAAAATATGTTTAATCTTTAAACATTCCATTTAATACATCTAGTCCCTTAACTCTTATTCAAAACACTTTTTATCCATTATAATTTTCTTAAATTCAATCACATTTAAGCATCTAAAACATTTCCTTTATCTAAGTCATTTCAACTTTTTTATATTACTCATATCAAGAAAGAAAACAAAAAAAAGGGGGGGGAAAGCATACTATATTATTTAGAGAATTCATCCCTCTTAGAATGACATATATACATTTCAAAACTTTTCTATTTCTTTAACCATATTCAAACAGATGTTTCTTTTTTAAGTATTCTCTCTGGTAAGTCCCATCATCTATTTTCTTGGTTGATATAATGATTTCTTGCTTTGGGCTCCTTCCGATCAAAATTTGGTGGGTTATCTGAATTGAACATCTAGTCTCCAACTAGAAGTTGGCATCTTCTTACCACAATCTAGAAGTTAGTATCATCGTCCATCCCTGACTATAACTTTTACTGGCATGAAATTTTGGGGAATAAGGTCCATGCTCAGCCTCTTACTCCCATCTCCTCCCACCAGCTCTGTCTGCTTCCACCGCAAACCTTTATCTTACAGACGTGTCTCTATTCCAGGTTCTTTTTTTTTTTTTTTTTAATTAAAAAGTTTTATAAATTTTACAAAAAACCCAAAACAATACAATAACAAAAAACCACATATACAAAGAGAAAAAAAAACTAAACATTACACAACAAAACCCCCCTCCCCCCACCCCCACCCAAACACCCCCCCTTCCCCCCCCCTGAGCTTCCCAGAGCAGGATATAGGCTTAATTAAAAAACAGTTAAAAAATTATATTTATAGAAAGAAAGAAAGAAAAAGAAAAAAAATATAACATTAACATATATATGTATATATATAAAAATAAAAATTATGAAAAAGCTATATGATATTTTTTTATATCCAATTTAAATTGTATAAATTTTATCCATTTATCCCAAACAGCAAGAAATTTCTCTTGCATTTGTTCCTTTAAAAAAGCCGAAATCTTTGCCATTTCCGCCAAATAAGACACTTTAAGAAACCATTCCTGCAATGTAGGCAAAGATTCCTTCTTCCAATATTGTCCTACTAACAGCCTCGCGGCTGTAATCAAATTTAACATCAATATAACCTCCTTTGTATCACAATCAGTAACTATACCCAACAAAAATAATTGCGGAGTAAATTTTACCCTCCTTCTAAAAATTCTCTGGATATTCCACCATATCTTAATCCAAAATGCTTTTATCTCTCTACACGACCACCAAATATGATAATAGGTAGCATCCATACAACCACATCTCCAACATTTAGGTTGTAAGTCAGGGTACATAAGAGACATTTTTTGTGGATCAAGGTGCCATCTATAAAACATTTTATAAAAATTCTCCCTTAAGTTCTGTGCTTGTGTAAATTTGACAGGTTCTTGAACGATCTCGTGATGTAGTTGACGAAGTGAGTGTTTCGCTCAGGCTGTGGGACACCTTTGGAGACCACCACAAAGACCGACGTTTTGCTTACGGAAGGTCAGTCTAAGTTAGATATCCCTTTTGTGGCAAGCAAGCTCATAGAAAAGTGATGGCGAAGCTTTTAGAGACCGAGTGCCCAAACTGCAACCCAAAACCCACTTATTTATTGCCGGGTGCCAGGTGGGACGTGGCGCACTGGGTGGGTCTGGCTGTGATGTTCATGGCAGACTAGGTGGGTGTGGCCAGAATGGGCATGGTCACCTCGATGTTGCTCGTGGGGAGGGATGCCTGTGGGGGCCAGGCAGGGTTGGGGAAGATCCAGGGGGGTCTCTGGCAGGTGGGGCAGTGGGCAGGAGGCTTGTCCTGCAGGGTGAAGTGAGGCGAGGCAGGGTGGGGGTGCCATTGCTGCGGGGCAAGGCGAGGCAGGGGCCAGGGCAGCTGCTGCCTGACACCATCGGCCCCTGCACACAGAGGCCAGCGAGCGCATGGGGGCCGACGGTGTCCATCAGCAGCCATAGCCTGCTGGCTCCTTGACCGGTACACTCTGGACAGCTGGCTGACAACTGAGGAGATGATGCAGTGGTCATGCCCGGGAAGAGGAGAGCATGCAAGGTCAGGAGGAACGGAACCAAGGGGGGAGGGAACCCAGCCATGCCGGGATGCATCCGGCGACGTGGGACCTTGGGTGGCTGGTTGAAGAGGGATGGTTGCCATCTCCAGGGAATATTGCTTGATTTCCTTTCAGAAGCAACCCAAATCCATTGAGCTCCAAGAGTGCATCACCTCCCTCATCAGTAACACATTTCCAGCTTCATATTTCCAAGAATTGCTTTGGGAGAAATGCTGCTGCAGGAATTCTTTGGAGTAAAGCCACTGTCTTGGGAGCCCTACAACCAGGGCAGAACACCAAAGGGGGGGGGGTTCTTGGTGCAGGGAGATGGGGCCTTCAGCTGCTTCCAGTTCACCAAGTGGTGTCTCATGGGGAGCAGGAAGAGTAGCCAAGGTCATAAAAGACACAAAGGATTTTGGCGGAACTGACCTCTCAGGAATGTTGACCATTGGCCTTCTCTTGCTGACCTCATAGTACCTTCTGGGGAATAAGTAATTTAACAACCAGGTTTAACAGCCTTGGTTAGCAAATACAGTTAAATATTTAAACAACATTTAAATGCCTTTTCTAAAGGTTGCAAAATAGATGGCAGAGACACGGCCCCTTTGCCAAATATTAGCATGCTTCAAATTCAGTCTTATTGATTCGGCAGGGTTATTTGGATCCTTGCTTCTCCTCCTGGAGGCGCCTCCTGATACACAATGAAACACGGTGTCACTAAGCATTTGCTGAAACAAGGCAGTTGGGAGAGGACTTTCCGTCTCCACGTGATGTCTCTGCCCCAGATCTTTGGGGATAATTACTTGAACTGCTAAACTCTTCATCTCTCAGCTTATTGAAATCTGGGTTATTTTAGTGTCAGAATTGACTCGAACCAACTTCATGCTACAAATCAGCAAAGCCCCTGTCAATCTTGGGTGCACTTATAAAAAGCATCTCTCTCTCTCCTCTACCTTTCCAGAATCTTGTCTCCCTGCAGGCACCACCATTTAGCTCAGGGCACCATCCTCCACTTGCCAGCCCCCTACTTTTCTTCCAAGCAAGCTTCCTCCTGTCCTTCCTTTAGCTCCTTCCAATCTCTCTCTCTCTCTCCCTCTCACACCCCTCTGTGCCTCCTCTGGAAGGCCATTGCTGGCCAAAAGCCACAAATGCCATTCCCCAAAAGACCCCTCCAGCCATTTCAGTTTGGAACCATGCAGAGAACACAGCATCCCATTTTTTGGGTATGTGGGCAAGTACCTCAAGCATACCTCTTTCTGGTTGGACATGGACTTCCCACAGCTGTCATTTTTGGGCCCTGCATGGTTCAAGCCAGAGAGAGTTGGTGACTAGTAAAAAATGTTCTCCTAGACCTAGGGCAGTGATGGCAAACCTTTTAGAGTCCGAGTGCCCAAACTACAACGCAAAACTCACTTATGCATCGTCGGGTGCCGGGTGGGTGTGGCCCATTGGCTGGGTGTGGCCCATTGGCTGGGCGTGGCTGCGGTGGTAGCGGCAGACTGGGTGGGACTAAAAAGTTCAATCAATCAATTCCAACTTTGCAAGATCTTTTTTTTCCCCGCGAGAAGTTGAAATTGACTGATTGATTGAAACTTTTTTTTTTTTTTTTTTTTTTTTTTGCACAAGGCGGTGGAGGCCTAAAGCGAAAAGGTTTTATAAAACCCAGCTGAAGGCCTAGGACTGGAGCGATGGCACGCGTGCCCACAGAGAGGACTCCAAGTGCCGCCTCTGGCACCCGTGCCATAGGTTCGCCACCAGTGACCTAGGGAGTGGCTGATGACCCATTCAAAGTCAGATCTGATGCTCCCATGCTCAAATTTCCGGGGATGCTACTTGTGTGGTGGATTCTGAGGACCACCAGCAAACATTTCAAAACAGGGCCAAGCAGTTGGTTGTCCTAGCAATTTGTGTATTGAGAAGAGGTCCAAATCATATTCTTTTCCCAACTCCAGGAAAAGAGGGAAGGAGGGGCTTTAAAATATATTCCTAATGCACAAAGAAGGAAAATGCTGCTTTGTAAATACTCGTCTCCATAAAAACACCTGAACAGAGAGACACGGTGCCGGAGTCACACTTTGGGTTGGAAGGGGGCGGGTAAGATGTATTAATTTTTCCCCCCTGTGAACCCTGAACCTTAAAGGAATCCTTGGCATGCTGGATTTTCTTCAAGAAATTGTCTAGAACAGTGATGGCGAACCTATGGCATGCATGCCAGAGGCGGCACTCAGAGCCCTCTCTGTGGGCACACCTGCCAGCTCACACAGGTCCATTAGGCCACTGCTGGTGCCTGGAGTGGCAGCCCCACCCAGCACAAAGGAGGTGAAGCAGCTGGCTAGCAAGCTTGAGTACAGGTGGTAGACCATGCGCTCGCTGGCCTCTGTGTGCAGGGGCTGATGGTGTCAGGCAGCAGCCGCCCCTGTCTCGCCTTGCCCCACAGCAATGGCACCTACACCCTACACCCTGCCTCGCCCCACAGGACGAGCCTCCTGCCCACCATCCCACCCACCAGAGGCCCCCTGGATCTCCCCCAATCCTGCCCAGCCCCCACAGGCGTCGCCCCCATGAGCAACATCAAGGTGGCCACGCCCACCCTGGCCATGCCCCTCAGTCTGCTGTGACCCCTGCAGCCACGCCCACCCAGTGGGCCATGCCCACCCCCACCCCGCTGAGGGCACCACAATGCTGATGCGGCCCTAGCACTTTGCAATAAATAAGTGGGTTTTGGGTTGCTGTTTGGGCACTCGGTCTCTAAAAGCTTTGCCATCACTGGTCTGGAATCATCCTTCAGCTTCTCCTTGGTTTATCTCAGGATCTGTTTGATGTTTGCAAACGTTAATTGGTTGGCCCAACTTCCCCTTGCAAATTAGTCTTTGATGAAGGGGGAGCTGACTTGCTTGCTGCAGAGTTGAGCCCTTATTCTGCCCCACTTTACCCCTATATGCCACTTGGGAGTTGGGTAAGAGGGGTGCTTGGCTGTTGTGGAGAAACATAGCATTGTGACAATGTTTATGGGCTTCAGCATCACGATCCTGGTGCACTTCTAAATAAACCACGTCTTGAATTTTCCCTCCCTCCGCCCATTTGTGAGCAAAGCAATTGAGCTGTAAAGTTGATCTAAAACAAATAATATTTTTGTCTTGCAGATCTGACGTGGTGGTGTTGTGCTTCTCCATTGCTAACCCTAACTCCCTGAATCATGTGAAGACAATGTGGTGTCAAGAGATCAAGCACTTCTGCCCTCGGACTCCTGTGATTCTGGTGGGCTGCCAACTGGACCTTCGCTATGCCGATCTGGAAGCTGTCAATCGAGCCAGGAGGCCATTGGCAAGGTAGGGTTGAATGCAGATAAAAAAAAAAAAATTCCCCAGTGTGGCAAGGCAATGCTGGACCTTTGCAGAAAAGATGACATCTTGGCTCCTAAGGAAGCATTCAAAATGGCTTTGTGTGTCTAATTTCTTTAGTTTGTAATACAGTACAGGAAGATGAAAACAAAATTAATAGCAAATGAATTAACCATTCCATACCTGGGGAAGGGGGGTCTTTCAAATAGGCAGGAAGTCTTCTCAGATGTTGAAGACTTTGGGCATCAACCCCATGGGTTGTCTTTGTGGGACATCCAAAAAAGGAAAAGCATGAAGGCCAAAGGATCACAAGAATGCATCCCTTGATGGGTGGGGTCCACTAGTTCTATTCAGTGAGCCTGACCAAGGTGACCTCTTCTTTGTCACTCCATTTTGTTTGCAGGCCTATCAAGAGGGGAGACATCTTGCCACCAGAAAGAGGCAGGGAAGTTGCTAAAGAGCTTGGGATACCCTATTATGAAACCAGCGTCTTTGACCAGTTTGGCATCAAGGATGTGTTTGATAATGCAATCCGAGCAGCCCTGATTTCCAGGAGACATTTGCAGTTCTGGAAATCCCATCTGAAGAAAGTCCAGAAACCTTTGCTCCAAGCTCCATTTCTACCCCCAAAGGCTCCTCCCCCTGTTATAAAAATCCCAGAGTGTCCCCTCCTCAAGATCAACGACGTGGGATACTTACTGGACAATCCCTTGTGTGCAGACGTGCTGTTTATTCTTCAGGAACAGACTCAGATTTTTGCTCACAAGATCTACTTAGCTACCTCTTCGTCCAAGTTTTATGACCTTTTCTTAATGGAATGTGAAGAAACACCCGACTTGATTGAAAGCTTTTGTAGTAAAGGTAGCAATCTCCCCACCAGAACCTGCAGCCTTGAAGCAGTTGATCAGGGAGCTGAAGGGTCAGTTGCAACACCTTCTGCTTCGACCGAGGGCTTCCAGGTGGAGCCTGAAGCAGGAGAAGCCACCTGCCCAAAACAGGGTCCAACGCCCTGGGGCAAAGGTTTCATAAGCCTACATCAAGAGATGCAGATTAACCCCATTTCGAAGAGGGTCTGTGCAGTGACGGTGGTCAAAATGGAGGCTTCCATCCAACCGGGACCTTTTAAAACCGTCCTGCAGTTTTTATACACCGGGCAGCTGGACGAAAACGAAAGGGACCTCACCCAGGTAGCTCAAATTGCTGAGATCCTGGAAGTGTTTGACTTGCGGATGATGGTAGAAAACATAACCAACAAGGAAGCCTTCATGAACCAGGAAATTACAAAGGCTTTCCACGTCCGGAAGGCTAACAGAATAAAAGAATGCCTCTGTAAGGAGACGTTTTCTGGTGAGTCTACGCAGAAATATCCCTCTGCCTTGCATTTTGTTACGATGCTAATCAGGACCCCCGGGATGGTTTTGTGCAAGCCAAGATGCAATTCGGACGTTCTGAAGGGTTCAGAAAGGGACGTTTGGTGCCCACAGCCTAAAATTGTGCCCTACGACAGGTCATGATGTATTCCTCGATGCAAACGCAATACATCTTTACATAAAAAGGCAAATCTGTCCCTTCGGCCAATCATTTTCGAAACCTCCAGTTGCAGAATGGGGGGAAAGTGCAGAGGCTGTTGAAAGAGAGATTCAAGTGTGGGTCTTTGCTTGGAAGACAGTCTGATTCTGTTCAAGCCTTGGGAAAAAGTCAGAATTCACAGGGAGATGGGCAGAAGGAGGAGACCTCTTCCTGCTTTCCTTCCTTGCTGTCCCTGTTGCAGGAGGTGTGGGTGCCTTTGACAGTCCGCTCCCCCAAGGCACCTTGGGGGTGACCGTGCTTGAGGTCCTGATAAATTTTAGCTCCTTTGGTGATAACTGGATAGGATTTCCTTTCTTTTCTTTTTTCCCTGTCCGGTTCCTTCTTCTTTTGCTTTCTCTTAATCCAGTTTCGTTTCCCCTTTCTCTTTTATTCTTCCGCCACCAGAATTACAACTCTAGCTTTTGGGAGGGGAGGGGGTGAGGGATGGAAGCCTCCTCCTCCAATGGTTTACATGGGCTGTTTTGTTTGCAAGGATACCAGTGTCACTCTCTAGCCCAGTGGTTCTCAACCTGTGGGTCGGGACCCCATTTGGAGTCGAACGACCATTTCATGGGGGTCACCAAACAACGCAGTCCGCCATTTTTTCCCCCTTTTCCCTGGCTGTGCTACTCCCTTTTGTTCTATTGGCTTTCAAAAGCCAATAGAACAGACTCTCTTGAATAGAGTCTAATTCTATTGGCTTTCAAAAGCCAATAGGAATTGTCCAGGCTGTCTCTGCCCTGCTGAGCCCGCCAAAAGCCCCATTCTGCAAATGGTGCTGCACCAGTTGAGTAGTCCTCGACTTACGATCGGTTGAGTAGTCCTTGACTTACGACCGGTTGGGGGGTCGCGGCATTAAAAAGGTTGAGAACCACTGCTCTAGCCCATAGCTTTCAGTATATGGGAAAGGATGTTTTATTGAGTACAGTTATGGTCCATCTGATTCAAGAGGGTCACCGGCAGTAGTTCTTCAGACAGGAGACCTTCCCAGCCCTTCTGAGCTATCTCTAAGTCTCTCTGCCCTGACATAGCTGCTCGACTGATGAGCTGTCTTTCTCTTCAGCTAACTCTGGGACTTGGAGCTGTTTGAGTGGAATACAGTATCTGAGTATAGATTAGAAGATAATTAAATGACAAGTATTTGGGGCTACGGAAGCTTAGTTCCACTAGGTGGCAGCCAAAGAATATGGAAAATACAAGGTACATGTGCCACCTAGTGGCCATATGGAGCTTTGCAACTAAGGTTAAGAAGCTCTAATGCAGTGGTTCTCAACCTTTTTAATGCCAAGAGTCTATTCTATTGGCTTTCAAAAGCCAATCGAATAAAAGGGAGTAGCACAGCTAAGGAAAAGGGGGAAAAAATGGCGGACTGCATTGTTTGGTGACCCCCGTGAAATGGTCGTTCGACTCCAAATGGGGTCCCAACCCACAGGTTGAGAACCACTGCTCTAATGTTAGAACCCGCAATTGGGGGACTTGAACTGCAATTGGGGAGATCAGGATCAAGTCCATGATGGTCCCCTTGGGTGATTTGGGGGCCAGCCACCCTCCACTCAACCTACTTCACAGGGTTGTGGTTGCAGGCAGGAACAAAGGGAGACCCCCATCTAAGCCCCCTCAAGACAGAATATAAATACTATTATTATTAGCAATACTACTATGTTGTGGCATTTACATGACCCATGAAACTGTGATAAATTTGACCCGTTTTCATTTTTGCCAGTGACACTCTTGAATAACCTCAATCAGCAAGAACTCCTGGTGTGGTTCCAGTGACGGAAGCTCAGAGTTTAATTGCCTTGTTGCTAATTTAAACATTAATATTTGCCTTTCTGGATGTCCTCAATGAAGGACCTTCTTTGCAGAAATTCTGCCAAAGCAGCAGGTCATGTGCTTTCTTCCACGCTCTTCCTGATTCACACATTTGACCGCAAGCACCAGCAGTCACGGGTTGTTATTGTGTTCCTTTGATCCCTTAACAGATGTGGTATTCGTGTTGGAAGACGGAAAGATAAATGCTCATAAACCACTTCTAATCTGTAGCTGTGAATGGATGTCTGCAATGTTTGGAGGATCCTTTGTGGAAAGCTCAAACAGCGAGGTACCGTATTTGTCCTCTTTGGCCCGTAAGCTCAAAGCTTTGCTCTGGAGAAGGAACTTGCTTTAGGTTGCAAGAAGGGCATGGGAATCCCTTGGTGACGTCTCTTTGGGGACTCCTCTTTTCCTGTCTGTCTTCTGCACTAGTTCTCAGAAGATACCTGGCTCCCGATTGTCGGGAATTGGTGGGATGGGGCGGTTGGAAGTGGAAAAGCTGGTCTCCATCTCCCATCAGATCTCAGCCCCAGGAGTGAAAAACCCAAACACCATGGTGAACCAGTTGAACCTCATCTTCGTTCAGTTCTGCCTAGTTTGTAAAATTGGCACTGCCTTAAACGGGAAATGTTAGAAAGATCAGTGGGTCACCAGTGGGTCATCTCCTACCTTGGCATGAAGTATTGGAGTAAAGCATTGAAAGACGGAGGAGCAGAAGGAAAGATGCCACCGTGCTTATTAATGACCTCAAAAAACAGCAATAGCAGCTTTGATGAATGTTTAGCACAATCTAAAATGATTTTCTCGTTATTCCTTATATTTCAAGGGAGGGAGAAAGAGAGGGAGGGAGAGAGAGAAAGAGAGAGAGAGAGGGAGGGAGAGAGAGAGGGAGGGAGAGGGAGAGAAAGAGAGAGAGAGGAGAGAGAGAGGGAGGGAGAGAGAGAGAAAGAGAGAGAGAGAAAGAGAGAGAGAGAGAGAGAGAGAGATTATACACTTAATATTCTGGAAGCTGTGTTCTACTAAAAAAAATTCTCATTACTTTTGAAACGGCAGTAAGCATAATTCCTTCCCTGGAGGCACTCCCAGCAGGTGGTTCATGAAAAATACATACCTTGATTCAGTAAGCTGTGCTCTAAAATACACACACACACACACAAACACACACAATCTGGTTCCTAATTATAACCACTAATAACGTGCTTTCTTCTTGGTAATCTTAAATATTAATTGCAAAGCCGTATTTTTTTTTTTCATAGCACATGAAGCTCTCTGTGCCCATCGTCTTTCGCCGCCTTGTTTGGGGAGAGTGATGGGAATGGAAGGAGCAGAGGCTGGTTCAAGAAGTGGGTAGTCTGTAAAGACGGAGGTAGTTCCACATAAATATAATGAGCCCCTTCTAATTTATTTATTATTCTGAAATTCTGCAGGAAGGACAGGTTATTTGCAGCAATAGGTTAGGCATTTGTGCTCAGTCGCTGTAACAGCCAGTTGGGGAGGAGGAAATCTCGTCTCCTGAATCATTGCTGAGATGGTGGGTCTTGATCCTCCTCTAGTGGCAACTCCACATGTTCTCCCTGGCTTTGTATGTTTTATAAAGTGGTTGTCATGGATGCTTGTGCCTAGTGCAGCGGTTCTCAACCTGTGGGTCGGGACCCCATTTGGGGTCGAACGACCATTTCACGGGTGTCGCCAAACAATGCAGTCCGCCATTTTTTCCCCCTTTTCCTTAGCTGTGCTACTCCCTTTTATTCTATTGGCTTTTGAAAGCCAATAGAATAGACTCTCTTGAATAGAGTCTAATTCTATTGGCTTTCAAAAGCCAATAGGAATTGTCCAGGCTGTCTCTGCCCTGCTGAGCCCGCCAAAAGTCCCATTCTGCAAACGGTGCTGCAAGTTGTCTGCAGCGAAGGCGAGCTGTCTGGAAGTTTCCACCCCTCCCTGTTGAGCAACTACTAAAAATGTAAGGCCAGGGGTGGGAGGTGGGAGGCCGGCAGGCGCAGGGAGGGTTGCTGGCACGCGTGGGGCCCGGCGTGTGCCTTACCTCCCTTGGGCTAGGCCAGCTAGTGGCCCAGCCGGTGGTCAGCCTGCTCCATCTCTGTCGCTTGCCAGCTACGCCTTGGCCGGCGCAGGGGGCGGCACCACGCATGTGCGGTGCTACCGGGCAGGGAAAGTCCTCGACTTACAACCGGTTGGGTAGTCCTCAACTTACGACCAGTTGGATAGTCCTCAACTTACAACCGGTTGGGGGTCGCGGCATTAAAAAGGTTGAGAACCCCACTGGCCTAGTAGAACGTTCTTTGAGAAATCGCCTGGGTAATGCAAGAACTTTATGCGGGGGCTCATCTCCACCAGAGGAGAAACCCTGGAGAAGAGTTTGGGCTCAAAGCCCATGTAACTTTGTGATTGCTTCTCATTCGAGATCTGAGCCTGCTCTGTTTTTCCACAATCAGCCATGGGCTGCAATAGGCTGCAATGCCGAGGTGGCGTAGCAGTTAGAGTGCAAGTACTGCAGGCCACTTTAGCTGACTGTGTTCAGCAGGTCAGCAGTTCAAATCTCACCGGCTCAAGGTTGACTCAGCCTTCCATCCTTCCGGGGTAGGTAAAATGAGGACCCAGATTGTTAAGGGCAATGTAAATATATATATATATATACATTGCTTACTGGTGTACACCGCTTAGAGAGTGCTTGCGGTATATAAGTCTCATAAATAAATAAATAAAGAGCCATTTGTCTCGACCGAACAATGCAACGAGTAACGGGACATCGAAGAACAAGTCCAGCCTTGACGATCTGGATTGACCTTTGTCAATACTTTTCTCCTCCTTGGATTTCAACCTGTCTTTCTGGGTTGAATTCAGGAGGAAAGATGGGCAGCAAGTAACAAAAATCTCGAAAACCTGATGCACTGATGTGTCTTGAGGGAGCTTCTGCCCTGGCTTCACTCTGTCTCCTCCATTCCCCAGCATAAGCATTGATTCTTTGGAGAACATGACTTTGAAAGTGAAAAAAAAAAAAAAAAACATTGCGGAATTATTGAAAGCAGTTGTCTTAGGAAAGGTAATACTGCAAAGGGCTGAAAAATAATCAGCATCCCAGAAAAGCATCTCTGGATTATTTTTAGCTTCATGGTGTTTATATTAAGAGTAGAAGGGTAGAAAATTGTTCCCAAAATAAATCCTTGACCTTGTTTTTGCCTATTGTGCCTATGCATTCTTCATCATTTTCCACCTTAGTCCCCTTCCTTGCAGGGACAGAAAATTGGAAGTGTCTTGGCTAGAAGCACAAAGCCGAAAGCACCAGCCTGAAGATGACGAATGAGACTTCGTCGAAACGTCGCCAAGACACTTCCAATTTTACGTGGGAGAAAACCCGAATAACCAAAGACCTACATAGAAACACCCGCGAAAACCTCAGAAAACATATATATATATATTAAAAATACAAGTAAAAATTTGACTCTTGGGAATTTCCATTTTTATTAAAATAATGATCACCAAGAGAAATTTAAGAAATAAAAGTTTGATCAACCAAGCTTTCGTCAAATACACTTGACATCATCAGGGTTAAAAGGCAGATGCTGAAAGAAATCTTACCGGTATATATAGTTGTTAAATGCCTGTCTCTGGTTCATGGAGTGCATCGTTGGATCCAGCTGATCAGGCTGTGTTTTAAGTGCACTTCTTAAGTTACCGCATATTCCTTTCTTTTGTTTGAGTCCCTTATACGTAGTTTTATCTACTAGTTCGGAGATAGGTGGGTTTAGGCTGGGAGTACTCTCTCCTCTCTTGTATAAAGTATACATATATATGTGTGTGTGTGTGTGTGTGTGTGTGTGTGTGTGCCTGTGCACACATAACAAACAAGGAAAGGCTCTTTTCACTGTTCATTTTGGGAACTTTGTAATAATAATAATAATAATAATAATAATAATAATAATTATTATTATTATTGTCGATAAGAAAGACAAAAAAGTCTGGATAGTGGACATGGCAGTGCCTGGAGACAGCAGAATAGATGAGAAAGAACTGGAGAAGATAACAAAATACAAAGACCTACAAATAGAAATAGAAAGACTGTGGCAAAAGCAAGCAAGGGTAGTACCAATAGTCATAGGCTCCTTGGGTGCAATCCCAAAACAACTGGAGCACCACTTGAACACCATTGGCATTGACAAATTTCGCTATTAGTCAATTGCAAAAGGCGGCCTTATTAGGAACTGCTTCCATCCTGCGACGATATCTGTAATACCATCAAACATCCACATCTGCCTATCCCAGGTCCTGGGTAAGGACTCGATAGGTAGACAAAATGCCAAATCCAGTCTGAACATCTGGCTGACTGTGCGATGATCCATAATAATAATAATATAATAAAGTTGGAAGGGACCCTGGAGGTCATCAAGTACATCAAGGATCATTGCACAGCCAAAAAAACAATCATATTTAAATGATTGTCCACTAAAACTCCAAGATCCCTTTCACAATTACTGGCATTAAGCCAAGTTTTGCCTAGTTTGTACCTATACAGGTGGTTTTGGAAATGGCTTTCCATTTACCATTTGCAAATTTACTATTTACAAATTAAAATTGACAAATTTTACATTTGAAAATTGACCATTTACAAATGGTACGTCTTCTGGAATGTCCAGTGTAGAGCTGTGGGTTTCCTCACGGTCTCTAGAAAATGATTTTGCCACAAAGAACACAAAGAGGGTAAGAGGTATGCTAGCATCTTTGGTTTCATCTTGTAAGATGAGATCCTGATTAGTGCATTGCCTTGATGAAGCAAAACTTTCGCAGGAGACCGAGATGACTCAATGAAGCAATAAAGGGCAGAATTGCTGGCAAGATACTTTGCAAGGCCAAAGAACCAATTTTACTCTAACCACATGAAAACAGAATTATATGCAGAAGAAGAAAGATTGTGAAAAGGTGGTATTAATTTAATATAAGGCTCCTCCCGATGGGAGGGTAGATTTTTCATTCTAATAATTGCAGGTTTGTTAGTAGAACAAGCTGCCTTTCGTGATCATGCAATTCCATTGAAAATGAGGTTCATTAATGGGAATCAGGTCTGAGTTTTATGTTTTAAGACTTTGAGCAATGGCTTAGTAAATCAGCTAAATAGCAAGCCTGCTGTCGCGCAAATTTGCAGGGGGAACTGTTTCTACAACTCCAGCCTTAAGCTTCAGAACATGTTTGTACGTGAGAGAGTGTGTATGTACAAATTCCATACGAACAGCTATGACTCCTGAGGGAGCATCATAGCGTTGGGTCAGGGCTGCTTGTATTCTGGTGGTCTCCAGTCTTAATGTAGATTTTCATCCTGCATAGTTTCCCATAGACCCAATGTCGGAGATGAGATCTTTTTAAGAATAATGATATAATTAGCTCTGAAGGTGGATACAGTACATTTCCAAGCTCATGGGAAGCCTCGATCTACACACACACCCCGTCCCAAGAAGGAAAAACTGAGTTTGGTTTTCGGAGGCTGGGAAGATTTTTATTCTCCTCTGTCCTCCCCTTTTCTTAGTCTGAATGGAGGCTGACCTTTCCCTTGCAACAAGGAGCTTTTTGTAGGGGAATCAGTAGCTGAACATGGAGGTGGCATTAAAAGAGGGATTAACCTAGAATCTCTACGTTGCCACAAGCAAACTAAGTTTAAGTCCTTGAGCAAGTCCGCTTGTGGCTACCTAAGTTTTGAGGTTGAGTCCTCTTTTAACACCGCCCCCAGGTTCTGCCACTCCTTCCTCTATCCCCTCCCCTCTTTTTCTAAACATCTTATAACCTAGGTCAGTGGTGGCGAACCTTTTAGACACTGAGTGCCCAAAACCCGCTCTGCCCTGCTCCTCCCCTGCCCTGCCTCTGTTCCGTCCCACTCCGGCTGCCATGTCCTTGGCTGCACTGCTCTGCGTGGGCCGCACCCCGGGGCGACTCTCCTCCAGGGGGGTTGCTGGTGAGGAGGGGGATGCAGGGGGAAGCGGGGCTGGGGCAACGGCGCGTATGTCCACAGAGAGGGCTCAGCATGCCGCCTCTGGCATGCGTGGCATAGGTTCATCGCCACTGACCTAGGTGGAAAAATAACACAGCTTTCTTTTTCCTAGACTGGATTGTTTCTCGCTCTGAACATTTAAAAATACCTTCCCCAATGTTTCAGGTTGTTCTCCCCAACATCACTAAGACTTCCATGCAAGCCGTCCTGGATTACCTGTACACCAAGCAACTGTCCTGCAGCCAGGATCTGGACCCCCTTGAATTAATTGCCCTGGCCAACCGATTCTGCCTGCCCCACTTGGCTGCGCTGGCAGGTGAGCCTCTCCAGCCTTTCGCCCTCCCCCCTCCCTGCTAGGCATCTGGGGAAGGACCAGCTCTTAGCCGTTTTGTTTTCTGAAATGCAATCTACATTTCCAATGAGGGAAACATCATGTCGCCTCCATCCGACCTCTTTGCGCTGAATTAATTGAGCCCTTTCCTCCCCCTCCCTGAAATGTGTGTGCCTGCTTAAGAGACCGAAAGCAAATAACAGGCTGCAGTTCATAATGCCCTTTAGGCAGCCTGATTATTCTTAATTGAAAGCGTGTGAATATTAACGTCTCCATTGTAAATCTCTGCTTTGAGAGCCTAATAACATCTTAAGCAATTGAGTTGAAGCAAATCCTGCCGAAAGAAGCAGCCCAAGACCCATTTATTACTCTAGCCTGACTTTGTTAATTATTGTGTTAGTGTTCTCGAAATTAACTATCATAATAGTTATCCCTCCTCTCCCCTGGCCTCAAAGAGAAGGGGCTGGCTGAGAGAGAGAGAGAGCGGTTGCAGCAGCAGGCAAAGGCTAGGCAGGGAAGGGAAGGGCAGGAGGGCCACGTGTGAAACACACGGGAGCGATTTCACAAGTGCAGCTCATGTCCGCTTCTCTCCCTCAACAGAGCAACACACGGTGCAGGCACTCACCAGAACAGCCGCGAGCGGTGTTTGCATAGATGGAGAAGTGTTGTGTGTTTTGGAAATAGCCCAGGTTGGTGTCACTCTACTGTGAGTACTTTCTATGCTTGTGACATTGTCAAAATTATGCACAGGTAGCCCTCGACTTAAAACCCATTCGCTTACAACAGGACTCAAAAAAGTGACTGATGAGTGGTAAATCGAGGATTGCCTGTATTTCCTTTTGGTGGAGAATTTATGGGTGGAGAACTACCGTGTTCTTCTCCAGGGATGAAAAGATTCCTTTTTCTTCAACATTGCTTTTGGGGTAACAATTGCAAATGGGCTGGGGATGTATAAGATACGTCCCCCAGTAGTTTTTGTGCTTCTCGTCCTGCTGTTCCTTTTGAAAAGCTGAGGATACAACTTCTCACCACCTTAAAAAAAACCCTTTTCAATCTGTCCTTAATGAGATGGCGTGTGTTTTGGAGGGAGATCAGCAGGCAGAATAAGAGCAGATTCCAACTTCTCCAGAAGAGGAGAGTCAGATGCTCTGGAGTACAAGAATCAACCTTTGTGGTCAGCCTGGTTGGGATGACTATGAGCAGTACAAGGTGGCTGAGGGATGTTTTCCTAGAACAGCGGTTCTCAACCTGTGGGTTGGGACCCCATTTGGGGTTGAACGACCATTTCACGGGGGTCGCCAAACAACGCAGTCCGCCATTTTTCCCCCCTTTTCCTTAGCTGTGCTACTCCCTTTTATTCTATTGGCTTTTGACAGCCAATAGAACAGACTCTCTTGAATAGAGTCTAATTCTATTGGCTTTCAAAAGCCAATAGGAATTGTCCAGGCTGTCTCTGCCCTGCTGAGCCCGCCAAAAGTCCCATTCTGCAAACGGTGCTGCACCAGTTGAGTAGTCTCGACTTACGACCAGTTGAGTAGTCCTCACCTTACAACCAGTTGGGGGTCACGGCATTAAAAAGGTTGAGAACCACTGTCCCAGAGACTGGCAGGGTGAAATCCCTTCCTTTTTGGCCCATCAGTTTTCTACTGCCATTATCTCGTTTCCTCTGAGAGTAACATCTGTCCTCTCAAAAAGTGCCCCTTGGAAACACCCACTGGGCTATCAGGATGGTTTGAGAAGCAGTCCCTGCGCCAGTGAAATGTCCAGCCTGAAGGCCTGCTTCCTAAGAGGTCCCCCAAGGCTTCAGCAGTGGAGATGGCTCCACCTCTGGAGATGTTCTCTTGTCTTGACTCCCCTCTGCTTCTTTTCCAGTTCCACAACGCTAAGCAGCTGGCCGCTTGGTGCTTGCATTACATCTGCACTAACTATAACAGTGTTTGTTCGAAGTTCCGAAGGGAAATTAAAATGAAGTCTCCTGGTAAGAGATTCTGACAAGCTTTCTCCATCACCTTTTCTCAATGTTTATATCTGCGTTTGAAGTCCACCTGCAGATATTTATATGGTTTGCTGCTTATTATAACGTTAACTTATAAGACCCCTTTTTATAGCTGAAGAATCACGGAAATCTAAGAAGGCATAATATTCAGCTGCAGAAATGATCCCACCCCTGAAGCTTCCTATTCTAATGTCTTTGGGACGCTTCAGTTTCAAACATTTTGATGATCTCTTCTGTAAACTAGGAAAGTCCATTTTGAGTTATGGCAGTCTAGCATCTTGCGACTTTCATAAATGAACTACCGTGTTTCCTCGAAAATAAGACTGGGTTTTATATTAATTTTTGCTCCAAAAGACGCATTAGGGCTTATTTTCCAGTTAGGGCTTATATTAGAGAAAATAAGGTACCGTATATGCCGGCGTATTAGGCGACCCGGTGTATAAGATGACCCCCGTCTTTATCGCCAAGCCGCATTCCTAGAACGTCTTCTTATACGCCGGAAACTACCAGTATTTCCGGCGTATAAGATGACTCGGCGTATAAGACGACCCCCGTCTTTGGCGCTGAGTTTAGCGCTTCCGGAAGTTGTCTTATATGCCAGCATATACGGTACTAAAAGTGTCCATCTGACTGACGATCTTCACTGGGGCTTATTTTTGGGGTGGGGCTTACATTAAGAGCCTCTGAAAAATCATGCTAGAGCACTGATGGCGAACCTTTTAGAGACCGAGTGCCCAAACTGCAACCCAAAACTCACTTATGTATCGCAAAGTGCCAACACGGCAATTTAATCTGAATACTGAGGTTTTAGTTTAGAAAAAAACAATTCACACATTAACATCTTTTGTCTTAAAAGAAAAACACAATAACAAAGCCTTCAATGACACAAACCACTTTTTACTGAAAGGTAAAAGTTTGCATTTGGCATGCTTTTGAACAATTAATGTAATTTTTGCTGTTGTATGCATGCTGATAATTTGTCTAACCTTGGCTTATACTTTGTAAGTTTGAGAGCAACACATGCAGCACTCAGGTCATCTGTTAGTCTGATTCTGGTGTCGGATTTGATATAATTCAAAGCTGAAAACAGCGCACTCGCTCCGGAGGCTTGTTTTGGCTAGGGAGGGGATTGAGAAATGGCTTTTTCCTCCAAAAACTTAGTCAAGGAGCGAGGCGCGCATGCCCACAGAGAGAGCTCCTAGTACCCCCTAGGTTCGCCACCACTGTGCTAGAGCTTATTTTCCGATTGGGTCTTATTTTCAGGGAAACACAGTTATCTCTTTCTGAGTTTTCTATTTGAGAATATCTGAAAGTAGACACAGAGAGCTATGTCCCCCACCACAAATAAGAAATCTCAGAAGTTCTCATCCCCATCCTATAGCAACTGGAAACTTGGTGGACTTTTGAAAAAAAGATTCCCCCCCCCCAAAAAAATGAACACAAGATTTCAGATTCTGCATTCCGTGACTTTTGTGTGATAGATAGCACATTGCCTAGCTTTTACCCTTCAAGAAAATAGACAAGTTTCTTTGCTGGTTCAAAATATTGTTAAACTTACTGAGTGTATCGTTTGCTCACCAGATAATCAGGAATATTTTGAGAAGCACCGCTGGCCTCCCATTTGGTACCTAAAGGAAGAAGATCATTTCCAGCGGGTTAAGAAGGAGCGAGAGAAGGAAGAACTGGCCCTCAATAAACATCATTCAAAAAGGAGGTGGTGCTTCTGGAGTACCTCAACTGTAGTTGCCTGAATTGAGAGAAAGCCAACCCATCTTGGCTCAGCTGGGAAAAAAAATTAGCTCTGGCGTTGCTCCTGGGCGCACAGCTGGCTCGGTGGGACCCGCAAAGACTTTTCTCTCCTTCGTTTCAATGGGTCTCTCCCCAGACCAAGGGCTTAGCAGATTGGGCAAAAGAGACCCGGAGGCACCACTTGTAGTCCAGCTGAATTCAGGGATCACCAAAGGTTAGGAAGCACAAGCTCACCTCAGTAGTGTGAATCTCTTTCTTAGACCCCCCCAACTCTGCCATTTTCATAAGCTGAAATTGGCACTTCCCCCCCTTTTATATTTCAATAACAAGAAATTCAACATCAGTGTTTTGATCTCTGACGTGAACCTATTTTTATACTTGTGAATGAGCATTTCTGTGTGGAGTTTGTAGGAGAAGGTCTTTAAATAATATGTCTGCAACATTCTCTCTCTCTCTCTCTCTCTCTCTCTCTCTCTCTCTCTCTCTCTCTCTCAGATTGCAAAATTAGCCTTTAAATCATCTCCGTTTCTTTTCACCACCCCTTCGGTCACCTATAGTGCTGAAAACAAAACAATGGCTTTAAAATCTCCCTGAAATTGATAACCTAGCAACATGTCCGCTAGATGAAGAACATTTTTCCTTCCCCAAGGACTGCATTTGTAATAATTAAATCCTTCTTTTTTTGTCTGAAAAAAAACCCGAGATCCTATTAACAACTGATGTCATTAGGGTTGTAATTGTCAATCAGCCAAAGAACACAAAGTGTACAATTTTTTTTTTCAGTTATGTTGAATATTTGCCCTGTTAGGGCAGGATGCAACTGCCATGTGTAAACTCTCTCCTTTTTTTATCTAGTTCAGAAGTGAAATGAAGGAAAATATCTTTTTTCTGTTTCAAAGCCAAAGGCAGGAACACTCTTTGCTAATCTGAGTGTTTTTTTTCAGAACTGGCCTTTCTTTGGAAAAAAAAAAAAAACATGTCTGCATAATATTCTTTGGTTCATTATACATAGTCACACTGAAGGGCTCCTTAAATAAAATAACTTCTTCCATTTTTATTCCTCTGCAAGCAGCAACCATCCACCTGCATTTCAATAGTGTCACTCCGACCCAAATAATCCCATTTTTTTAAACGATAGCTTCTTAACTAAGTTGTCTGAGTATCTTGCTTCCAAAAATGCTGAGAAATCTCTCCTCTAAACCCCTGACACTTTGGTAAATATCTTTTGCTATATATGTAGACCTCAGATTCCGAGCATTTTGGGGTGTTTTATATTAGTGTTGTTTTTTAAAAATACTTTAGGAGTAAACGGGCTACCTCCTGTGACAGGACAGTGGGGCCTGGACTGGGAGACCTGAGGTTGTAGGGGTAGTCCTTGACTTACAACCACTTGCTTAGTGACCAAAATTACACTGCCCCCCCCAAAGGCACTTAGAGCCGGTTCCAAAGTCCCAACGCCTTTCCCCCCCCCCCTGCAGTCAGGTGACATTTGGGATGTTTGGCAGCCAGTCGCACGTAGGACTGCTTCCACGTGACCACAATTTACGATGTTCGCCAGAAACCTGGGGTCACTTCCAGTTTCCTTCCAAAAGCACCCAGAGTCAACGACGACCGTGGTGTTTGTTTACCAACCAGGATGGTCACTTTACAACCATAGCATTCACTTAACAACCACTGCAAAAAAGGCCATAAAAGCTGGTCCAATCACATGGCTATCTGCTTTACGACTGTCACCATTTACAACTGTAATTATAAGTCGAAGACTACCCATCACCCCTTCAGGCAGAGGTGAACCTGGGTTGCTCACTTCCTACCAGACAAGATTGTGGGGGGTCAGTGTGACACTCCTATCTGTATTCTCTCGGTTCCTTAGAGCAGTGGTTCTCAACCTTTTTAATGCCACGACCCCCAACCGGTCGTAAGTTGAGGACTACTCAACTGGTGCAGCACCGTTTGCAGAATGGGACTTTTGGCGGGCTCAGCAGGGCAGAGACAGCCTGGACAATTCCTATTGGCTTTTGAAAGCCAATAGAATTAGACTCTATTCAAGAGAGTCTATTCTATTGGCTTTCAAAAGCCAATAGAATAAAAGGGAGTAGCACAGCTAAGGAAAAGGGGGAAAAAATGGCGGACTGCGTTGTTTGGCGACCCCCGTGAAATGGTCATTCGACCCCAAATGGGGTCCCGACCCACAGGTTGAGAACCACTGCCTTAGAGGGATATAAATAAAGCCTGCTCCTTTAACTACATATTTACAGGTAAAGCAGGTGAATAAATAATTCCCCATCAACTTTTGAGCCAACTTGGGCAATGAGAAGGAATCTCATTCTCAGCTGCTGCTGAATCAGGAAACCTTCTCCACCTTGCCAGGGCCAGAAGCGGAGGCCAGCGGCTCTGCTTCGGACACCGGGAGAGACTCAGAAATCTCTCCACTGTATAACATTAAAAAATCCATATTTTCAAAACCTCATTGTACTGTTTGTTACGAAGGGCTGGGAAGGCAAAGGGTATTTGCACGTATCTATCGTGTTTGGTCAAGGTTCACAAGAGGAAAGGCAGAGCAAGCCTTTGGCTCTTAAGAGCAAGAAGGATGAGCGCAAAGGTTTATTCCTGTGGAGGAGAGCCTAAGGCTGCTTATAGCATCCTTCTGGAGTCCAATTTAGCAACCATCTCTGGACAGGGGAGCTATGGGCTCAGCTTCTGACCTGTCCCATGAATCAACGCTCCAATACGCAGAAGAGGCAGCCTATGGCAAAATGTTTGCACCCAGTGTTGTATAAACATTGCTGCTGTGCCTGGCAAAATCAATGGAGAGGAGTCAATGAACCGGAGTTGTTTGCAATACCCAACGGTTGGACTTAAGAGCTTCTAGAACCAAATGGCTGGTTCATTTGGTTTAATTCTGCCTGTGGCCTTTAAGCTTGGTGGGACACTTACTTTTGTTTCTATTTTGGGAAAAGCATCTCAATAAAATGGTTTAGCTATATACAATCTTGCCTCAACTCTCTCCTCATTTTAAAAAAACGCGTTGAAAGCCATCCGTGTTTCTTTCCAGCCTTTCTAGAAGTCTTTGACCCAGGACCCAACTGGGTCACACGGCCATGTAGGATTGCAAGGCTTGTGAAGACCCAGAAGCGGAGTATAAAGTTTTCATCCCAGGGATCTAAGGTGCATCAAGTCACCTTTGCTACCTTGTTGCACAGGCACCTGTCCTAAGCCATCCGGAGCACTTCAGTTGCAAGAGGTCCTAAAACAGTGGTTCTCAACCTTTTTAATGCCGCGACCCCCAACCGGTCATAAGTCGAGGACTACTCAACCGGTCGTAAGTCGAGGACTACTCAACTGGTGCAGCACCGTTTGCAAAGTGGGACTTTAGGCGGGCTCAGCAGGGCAGAGACAGCCTGGACAATCCCTATTGGCTTTTGAAAGCCAATAGAATTAGACTCTATTCAAGAGAGTCTATTCTATTGGCTTTCAAAAGCCAATAGAATAAAAGGGAGTAGCACAGCTAAGGAAAAGGGGAAAAAAATGGCGGACTGCGTTGTTTGACGACCCCCGTGAAATGGTCGTTCGACCCCAAATGGGGTCCCGACCCACAGGTTGAGAACCACTGTCCTAAAAGAAGGCAATGTCTACGGAGGGGTTCAGGATTGGGCCCAGTGTAAAATAGCTAGCAACACATTGGTGGCTGTGGACCTGCTCTTAAACGGGGAATGCCTCCTTTTAGCCTTTCTTAAGACCAGATCAACTGTGAAAATTTAATTTGAATTGAGACGTTAAAAGGTTCTGCTGCTGTTTCCTACCCCTATATCTTGCTGGAGTTTGAGGTCGTCGTGTGCATGTCTTTTCTGATTGACTAACCCCCCAAAAAATGTATGCATTCATACGTGTGATATTTCTCCACAGAATGACTCTGGTCACAAGATGGCCCTATGCAAAGGAGAGACCCTATGTGTTTAGGATGGCTTGAGAGAAGGATGGTCTGATAATCCATCCCAACTCTAGGCAATTAAAGTGGCCAGTAAAAGATTGAGAAGGTGGTCTCGGCTTTTGGATGAGTTTTAACTGTCACAGCCAAAGCTCACCAGTTGGTTATTGCCACATGTTATGGTGTGGATGACAAATAAAACCAAAGATATACTGTTGAAAGAAAAATCTCCATCAGGGTCCAGTCCAAGCAGGGAATAAACAAAATGGAGACTGCTTTAGAAAGAAGGTTGTAGTTTATTGAAAAAGAGAGCCAGACAGAAAGATGGCTCTGGAAAAAACTGACCACATGTAATAGAGAGTGGTGGGTATTTATACCTTCTTGGACTTTTGTTTGGAGTTGTTCGTGGCGTGAACTTTGACCTGAGTCTGCACGTGCCTTCCTGGTATTCTGATAGTGGTGGATTAACCCTATTATGTCCCAAAGGCCATATCCTGCTTCCCTGGGGGTGGGGCTGACTATTGGTTTTTTTGGTGTGAGGGATTGTTGATTCTAGGATCTTTCTTTTTAATCCCAGCTTCCTGACTCCAATCTTTCTGACAAGATTATCACATCTGCACTTCTGCAGACCTGGTTTCTGTTTGGGGCAGAGAGACTTGGGGGGTGGAGGGGTTCTGCCTTTAAAATCCTTTGGGGAAATATTTTTTAATATTTTCCAAAATCTTTCTTTCTCTGGATTCTTCACACAAGACCTTTCTTCTAAGCAGACACAAAAAGCCTGGAATCAAGGCATAATTTACCTATATTGGATTAAAATTCCTCCTTTTAATTTTGTTCAGAAATTATGAGCATTTTGTGATAATGAACGGCCAGCTGGAAGCACAATATTTTCCGTATCACACTTCTAATTAAGAGGAAGAGCAGAGATGCACCAGCAGAATTTTCCCACCTGCATTAAGTGCAAATGAATTGTATCCACATATGTTGAAAGTGTTTGGGTTTCACACTTGGGAAGCCGTGAGTGGAAGCGGAAAAACATACTTTTCTTATTCTTATTTCTTGAGTTCAAGATGCTCTGGAGTTGAGAAAAGGGCTTGTTCCTTCACAGGTCAAGTGAACGCACAAATTTGCTTGTTGTTGAAGGAGACAGCAGAAGTTGCTGATGCCAAAATGAAACAGGTAGCACTTTTCATTCTAACAGTGCAAAACATTAGATATTAAATTTATATTAAGTAAATAGGATTTCAGCAGATTTGGCAAATATGATGAACGCTCCTTTCAAGAAAGGCAGTTATCTTCCAATCCACCAGCTACTCACAGGAAGCAAAACTCAGGATGAGAGAACTCTATTTTAAACAGTTTGCCATCCTTTAAACAATCATTTTTAAGTGTAGTAATTCTGTCCCATAAACTCACGTGCAAGTACACACGCCCCTCTAATCATCCTGCAAGCTATTCCAATGTGATTCAGCTCCATCCTGCAGTCAGTCTCCTACCACGCCTTGATTTCTCTAGGATTGTGTAGAGATTGTGCTGACATCTTGTGGTTCAAGAGGAAACGGCACATTGTCGAGTCATGGATGCAGCAGCCACCATTTCTCACTTGAATTGATTACATTTATGATGACCTCATTTCCTCCTCTGCTTCAAAACACTGATAAAGTGAGCTGAATAAATAGAGCTCCTCCGGTTGAATGTCTGCCTGTCAGCAGTGCAAAAATCTTGAGTTTCCAAGGCTTGAGGTCCTCAGGAAGCAGCTGGTAGCCGAAATCTCAGGTTTCATAGGAGAAACAAATATTTAATAGAAGATTTAACTATGGTCTACTGCAACCTCTGTTGCTTCACCTAAAGATGGGACCACTCCCAGTCTGCTGGTGGTCTAGAGCAGGGGTAGGCAACCCTGGCTCTTTTATGACTTGTGGACTTCAACTCCCAGAATTCCTGAGCCAGCCATGCAGAGGGGAAAGGGAGAGGTTTCCAAGCTGAGCCATGCTGGGTCAGGAATTCTGGGAGTTGAAGTCCATGAGTCATAAAAGAGCCAGTTGAA